AGGTTCCTTGTTGACAGACACGTTGGATTGAAGAGAGTTCCTATGTGTCATCATCGTCGTTGTGTTACTTCCTTCAGTCAGTTTTAGTGGTATCCAGCTGGAACCACTTACAGGAGACCCTCCTCCCATCACCAACCCCCTTAGGCCACTATAATCTCTTAAAAACCAGCTCCCTCCCTACTCAAGTTGGGTCTTAAAGCCCACTTCATGTGAGCCCGTTCAAGGGCCCAATTCTTTTCCTCAACTTTTTAGGGCAAGTCCGTCAGTTGGACAAGGGAGGCAGGCTTCACCATATGGACTTCTGCCCTAATTTCCTCAGCCAGACCATTCGAGAAGGCTCCCATTAGAAACTCCTCGTCAGCTTCTCTCAAAGGGGACGAGAGCAGCTTAAATTTCTCATGAAATTCAACCACTGATGAGTCTTGTCACAAAGCAATCAAAGCTTCATAATGGTTGCCAGTTTGTGAAGACCTGAACCATTGTATCATGGACTTTTTGAATCTCAGCCATGAAATGTGACCAGATCTAGATTCCAACCACTAGAACCAGTTCAGCCATTTCCCTTCGAGACCGATAACAGCCGCCGCCACTCGTTTCGCCTCCTCGACACCTTGGACCTGGAAATACCGTTCAAGCCAAAACAACCAGCCAAGCGGATCATCACCGCTGAAAAGAGGGATTTCCATTCGGTGAAATCTTAATTCTCCGCCACTCTGTGCTGCACCATAATTGGGGTGAAACGCTGCCCCTGTCGCGCGACCGCCTTCAACGTCGTTCAAAGCATAAGCTCTAGTCCACTCTGCCGGTGGATTAGCACCGTTCCCCGACCTCATCCAATCGGTAAGCTCCTTCATGTATTCCTTCATAGCTCCCATGTCCACTGAAAGCTGTCCGACGACTCCTTTGAGTTCTCCGACGTCTTTCTCCACAACTTCCACTCTTCCGTCCATTTTTCTGACTTTTGAAACTACCATTCCCAGATAGAACAGCTCTGACACCAATTTGATGGAAACTTCTCGAATTAATGAAGGAAAAGTTACACAAATATGTATCAAAACATAACTTTATTTATTTTATAAAATCAGCAAAACAATAATGTCTGACATTTGTCATTTCACAAATAACAAATTACATCCTACTTTATGGACACATTTCCAACAGCTCCTTCATGTATTCCTTCATAGCTCCCATGTCCACTGAAAGCTGTCCGACAACTCCTTTGAGTTCTCCGACGTCTTTCTCCACAACTTCCACTCTTCCGTCCATTTTTCTGACTTTTGAAACTACCATTCCCAGATAGAACAGCTCTGGCACCAATTTGATGGAAACTTCTCGAATTAATGAAGGATAAGTTACACAACAGGTGATTTTTGAGAGATCACCGACTCTCCTCTCAAAACTCTATACAATTCCAAAAGCTCCTAAACTCTCGAGCCCCAGCTTATATATAGGCTCCCATGCTAACATACTAACAAATCTAACAAACTAATTTCAGTTATTACTAAATAAGCTTCCTCAACAAGACTGCTAAAAGCTTTGTCAACTAGATTCCCCGCCACCCATATCCACGTCAGTGCCACTAATCGCTAACGTTTCTGCCTCCTACTATAGACCAGCAATTCCCGGTTCCCATCATCTCATATTAGTTGAATGTATTTCATATAATGTGAAAAATATGCGGAAGAAATAAATCTAAAGATGATATAGTCTAACTAATATGATCCGCAATCGATGGAATAAAGTTGGATGTTTTATTCATGTTAAAACGGCTAGGCTTGGTTGTTGGAGGTAGGACTCGATGGGTAGAGACATTGATATAGTTCCTAGTAGTGGAATCTATATTGGATCACACCAAAGTTGAATTATTTTAATTAATAATTCCGTTTGAATAAAACAATTCACTTTTAACTAATTATATGTTATCATCTTAATCCTGAGATGAATAATAAACCCGCATACTTGACTTGTGCCTTTTGATGTGCCAAATGGAGACATCCTGACATTGTGTAAAGGTACGCTTATCGGTACATTAGGAGTATGACTCTTATATGCGTAGATTTATTATTCATAGATAGGGAATTCATAGCTCTTATTAAAAGAGTTAATAATATCCTCTTACGGCATTATCCGGGGATTGGAAAACGTTCAGCCATTAGACTACTTTTTGATATCTAATGGTTTACCATTTGTATTGGTACGAATAGTGGTTTTTTAATGGAGTGATAATGAAACATAAGTTAAATATAATCGAGAAGGTAAAATGAAACTTAACCTCAAGTCGATTATGGATATCCTCTGGGGATGACACACAATATAATAAAGTCATGGACAAGAGCTAATTGAAGTTTTGTAAATATATTGTATTGATCGATAGTGCAGTTATAGGCTTTTAGTGGAGTAGCACTAGAACTTATAATCATGTGATGAACTTGTGAGTTAATAATTATTGTCGTGATTATAGGAGTTTGATCAATACATGTCCATCAGGTCCCTTTGCTAGCTTGTATATTTTTCTGATACAATACGACGTATTTCCTACATATTGATAACTTATGTTATTAATGCAATTGGTTATAAATCGGATGGAATTAACTCATGAATGATTTATCAAGAGTGCAATTATATGCTTTTAGTGGAGTACCATTAAAACTTATAATCATGTGATGAACATGTGAGTTAATAAGTATTGTCGTGATTATAGGAGCTTGATCAATACATGTCTATCAGGTCCCTTTGCTAGCTTGTATATTTTTCTGATATGATACGATGTATTTCCTACATATTGGTAACTTATGTTATTTCCGCAATTGGTTATAAATCAGATGGAATTAACTCATGAATGATTTATCGGTTGAATTAATTATTTAAATTAATTCAAGATAAATTGATTGAATTAATAAAGGTCCCATTCATTTCACCGATTCGAGTTTGGAATTTGAGTTTTACAACAGTAAAAAGCTCTCAGAAACAGTCACATCTAACTTTTTTGCTAGAGTAAAAAACTCTCACATAAAGTCACATCTCAACTCGAATTAAGAACTCGAATCAGCGAACTGAACGAGCCCAAAGTGTTTAAACTAATTCAAGAGTTATTTATCGGTTGAATTAATTGTGTAAATTATTCAAGATAAATTAGTTAAATTAATGTTTTTGTCTTATTTAATATGAGAATATAAATATATAATTATTTTAATCAAATAATTTCTACTTATTTGAATTAAAGCTGGAGTTATATATATTATTCTCATATTTTAATAAAGGAACAAAATGGGCTTGGAAAACAGGGTATGATTAACCGATGGGCTACATCCGGTTAACCGGACCAGTTACGTAGTACAGACAATGTCCGTCGTCTGGTTAACCGGACAGTTTACATGGCACCGATTGGTTGTGATTTTAATCGTGATTTTGGATCCGGAAACTTAACTGCGAAACAAGTCTAACCTACCTCTATAAATAGCTCATTATGCCCCAGAGTCATTTAGATCACTTGATATACTCTTTGGGGGCTATTGGTTAAGGTTCATGAGAGGAAAACCTGTTCAAACATCAAGAACGTTTTTTCTTTGGCTCTCTTGTGGTTGGAAGGAGATCAAGATACCGAGTAGGAGATTGAACGACGTTGCGCAACTTTTGCCATATTTTCTAACATTTAGTATCAGAGTTATAGTTTACTTTGTTCATGATCATGCTATGTACATAAATTTGTGATGTATTCCCTCCCTTTTTTTTCCCTTTCTTACGTTTTTATTTTTATTCTTTATAAATTTTAAATATGTTTTTTTATTTATTTTGTTTTATGAATTTTTTTACATTTTAATTTTTTACATGAGTTTTTAAAATATTATTTTACTTTACTCTTATGAAAGTAATTTATTTTGCTTGTCTTTCTATTTGCCCTTATTCCTTTCAAATATGCCATTATTTTTCTTTTTGTCAAAAATTTCTATATAACTTTTATTCTTTTTTTTTAACTTTTCAACTTTTTCTCTTTTTTCTTTTTTAACTTTTTTTTTCTTTTCTTTTGCTTATTGATTTCTTTTTTGTTTTTCTCCTAACACCCGTCACATGTCTTTTACAATACCACCTTTAAAATACTTTCTTTTTCTCACTTTTTTAATTAAAATAATTATTTTTAAATATATCCATATTTGTCAAAAACCATATATGACTTTAATTTTTTATATGATTTTTTTGAAATTTTTTTTCTATTGCTCTAACTAATTGACTTAACTTATACGGAAGTTATGCATTTTCCTAAAAAAAAAATGTTATGTGTTTTGAAATGAGATTAAACTTGTAAAATTATTCTAACGTGCATAATTTGTGGCTCAATTAGTTTAACCTAAAAAATGCTAAGACATTTATAAAATTATTTTTTTTCCTTTTTTTTTCTTTTTCTTTTCCTTTCTTATTTTTTTAAGAAAACTTTATATAGAAAAAGGCAAGGGATGTCCAACAATAATTTTAAATTTTTAACACAAAATACACTAATTTTTAAATCTTAAACCAAAATTATTTTTTACTTTTAATAAATAAATAATAATTTGAACCGAAATCACAATTTTAGTTTTAAAGCCTTTAAACCAAATGTTATTTAATAAGTGTCTATGGTCCCGTTCTTTTCGCTGATTTGAGTTTAGAATTCGAGTTTTGTTATAGTAAAAAGCTCTAAGAAATACTCTCATCTAACTTTTTTAATACAGTAAAAAATTCTTACACAACATCACATTTTAATTTAAATTAAAAACTTAAATTAGCGAACTAAACGGACCTAATGTAGCTTATGTCTCACTCAAGGCACCGAGTCCCCTAACGACGGCTGACAATGTCAAAACAAGATAACCAAAACCTAAAAGAGAAAAACTCGTCCGTTTCACAAAGCTCAAACAAAAGCCAATAAGATCCACCCACGTGGCATAAAAGACAAATTGCAAAATCTCCACCACTTATATCAGTCTCAGTTGGCAAATTTCTACAGGTCCTTCACGCAACTTCTCCTTATTTTATCTTCCCTCGTAATCATTCTTTCTTTGCCTCTGCCCAGAGAAACCCGAACAAGAAAATTTCTATTCTCGATCGTATTTGAACCCCAAAATTCCTCTCCTATGGAAACCCTAATCTGATTTCAAATCAATTCTTCAAGAAAATCGCCATCAATCGGAACAATTCTCGAGAAGATCAGGGAGAGAAGAAGAGATAGAAGCGTTGAATTGGATCAATTTCGAGAAATTCTAACCGTCGATCGCGGAAATTCGTTGGTCGATCTTGGAATCGGAGGCGTTAGATGAAAAGGGAGTAGAGAGAAGGAGAGGACTGGAAGAAGGCCGCCGATCGGACGGAGGCAAATCATGTCTGCCATAGTGTGCGGGAAGAGATCTATATTCGAAGACCTTCCGGCGACGCCCCAAGTTTCCAAAAGAATCCGCTTTTCTTCTTCGTCTCCTTCTTCTTCGCCCGCACGGTTCTCTCCTCCGAAGTCGCCGTCGTCCTTTTATAATCCGTTTGGGACTCGTTCGACGGTCGATTATCTCAGGGAGATTTTCCCGGACATGGACCCACAGGTTGATTTCGATTGTATTTTTTTTGTTTTAATTTATCGATGTTGATTGTGTTTTTGTTCGCGGGATAATTATGTTGTGTGTTTAACCAATTGTTTATGTTAGTAAATTGAAATGAATTTACCTTTTTATTTGGAAAAATTCTAGGTTTATTGGAGTTTTGACCTTTCATTCAAGCACTATTGTTATTTTTTTTTTAATTTAAATTTGCTTGTATAATTGGAAAAACAAATTTGGATTAGTTGGTACAAAACCTAGGCTTCAAGTAGCTAGAATTCTAACCTCTCCGAGATTCTTTTTCGAAAATCTAAGTGATGTTTTGTATGGGTTATTGTTGATGAGGATTAGGAAGTTAACTAGGTAATCTGTTTGTTTATTGTTTACATTTGGGAATTTTTATCAGCGAAAATAGACTCGTATTACTGTCCTTCCACCATTGTTAGAAAGCTTTGTGATTAGGGTTTGTATGCTGAATAACAATACTTGTTTTTCTGGTTTTGAAATTCATGGTGGAAGATTTGTTTATCATTATTTTCGGTGCGTCATATAGGTATTCTTTAGTATAATTAGTTTCTGACATGTGGAGATTATTATCCTAGCTTCTGGAGAGAGCACTCGAAGAATGTGGCGATGATTTGGGTTTGGCTATTAGAAGTTTGAATGAGCTTCGACTAGGATCTTCTGACCAATATTCAGCTTCAGCTGCTGCAGGCGTATCGGATGTAGCAGGGGAAGGAAGTGTTCAACTCCAATCACAAGGTTCATTTAGAGAACTTTATTAATAATCTATCAGCATTGATTATATGGGGTATTTCAACATTATTGGCTTTGAATATTGTAAATATTTGCATGAATTTTTTTCCATGATATTTCGCATTTTCAGATAACGCCTTGTCTAAGATATATAATCTAAGCAATTTAATGACGATAATGAAAGAACAAAAGGAAAACTAATATGCTCCTACTGGTCGGATAAAACTAAAACTAAGGTCATTGCTATTGAGTAGTGATGAAATGATTGCTGTTTTTTTCCATGTTCAGTGACAACTAATGGGGAGGTTCCATTTGGTGAGGAAAATCTTTCGAAGGATGGTGCGGATTGGGTGGAGCTATTTGTTAGAGAGATGATGAGTGCCTCTGACATGGATGATGCCAAAGCTCGTGCTTCAAGAGTGCTTGATGTTTTGGAGAAGTCCATCCATGCACGTGCAAGTGCAGAGGCAGCGCAAACCATCCACCAGGTTTACTATGGTTACAGTCTTACTATCAGCAGTGTGCAGAATTCTTAGTAGTAGTAGAGATGTTGGGGTGTGGAGGAACAAAAAAAGAAAAGAATATTTGATGGAGGCTTTCTTTTTGTTTGTTTTCAATTACATTGTTATAGGAAAATATAATGCTCAAGGAGCAAGTGGAAGCACTTATTCAGGAAAATACAATTCTGAAGCGAGCAGTGTCCATTCAGCACGAACGTCAGAAAGAATATGAAGATAGGGACCAGGAGCTGCAGCAATTGAAGCAGCTGGTGTCTCAGTACCAGGACCAGTTGCGGACATTGGAGGTTGAACTCACCAACCTGAAAGCATTTCATTGTCGATGATAATTGGTTTGAATTTTTCTATTGGTGCATTCTATGACGTAGTTGGATCTTTCTTAATCGATTGAATGTTTACCATATCAGGTTAACAACTATGCCCTTACACTGCACCTGAAGCAGGCTCAGCAAAGCAGCTCGATTCCAGGGAGGTTTCACCCTGATGTGTTCTAATGTTATTTGAAATATGATTCTTTGGATAAATAGTATAATATATGCTTTTAAGTATTACAAGCTAGTGTGTAACGATACGAAGGCGCCTCAGTCTGTAACTCGTCTGTTGTTTGGGCTGCATATAGTCGTCCGAAGGTTGCTCTTTTGTGTGCAAAATATAAGCAAGGAACAAAGACAATTTCAGCTGCATTTAAACACGGTGGCGAGGATTAGTTCATTTAGCTATTTATTCATCTCCACTTGATCTCGACCGAATTTAATTCTAACAGTCCATCGATTGTAACAGATGCTGAAAGATTTAATTGGATTTGGGTACTCAATAAGCTCTTCAAGTCTCTGCTTAAAGTTTTTCTCCCGTTTCCGCTGCCAGTTACCGGCTTGTTTTTTTTATGGAACCAGACAGCTAGTCACTGACTTGTTGCAACTCTTATAATCACCTTCTGATGTTCTTGCAACAGCAAGATGCAAAGCAAGATATCTCATCGCTCTGTAGATTTTGAAGATAAATTAACAATTTGAAAAAGTTAAAAAGTACAATCTTTTGTCACAAATTTATTTCGCAACTCATAAAATGTGAAGGTGAAATCTCGCCATTTTGTTGTGTCTTTGTGCGTCTCTTTTTTTTATTTATTTATTTGCGACCACTAGAATCATTTAGGACATACGCCAATATGCTATATATGCTTTTCCGTTGCGATCAACTTGTGGTTTCTTATCGAGAGCATGGATGAATGAGTGGCGTACAGGATTTTCTTATTCCTGTAAACTTCCTTGTAATGGAAGAAAGGTCAGAGATAAAAAAACGTCTATTGATTATCCCTTTGTTTGTATCCATTTGTTAATTATTTATTTCGACTTAATTATACTAAGTTATTGTGGTTTATTTATCATAACTCCATATTTTAATTGGATTCTTATCTAAATAATGCTTCACATTCACGTTTTTCAGTTGTTACGAGTCCAGTTGAGCTCAGGTTCAATATGCCAATAAAATTACATTTCAAAACTTTGGGACATTGTATGATGAAAAAAAAAAAAAAAAAAAAAAAAAAAAAAAAAAAAAAAAAAAAAACCCACTTTGAACAGTTGATAAAAAGCTGTCACCTATAAAAGCTGAAAAGAATTTAAACGGTCAATATTATTTTTAAGCATCATTCAATATTTGAAATTTTGATTACATATCTACATACCAACAAAGTGGGATGCATTGTCGCCTTACTTATGAATAAGACTTTAGGTTTTGTAGTTCGAAATATATTTTTTTTCTTTTCTAAGAAAAATACAGTTTATTTGTTAGAAAATTTGTCGTTGACAACAACGTTAGCTCACTAGAAGTGATTTGTGATGTAGATAAAGGTAAAGCTCCAACAAAACAGTGAGAAAGCAACCCCAGCCAACATAATTAGGGGTGACAATTCATGTTGGCGTATCGTGTTCGTGTTGTATTGACCCTCTCAGTTGACACGGTTATACCTGACATGAACATGGCCCGTTTATTATTCGTGTTGAAATACAAACCCAAACACAACTTGTATATTAGCGGATTGACACGACACGACTAACCCGCTTATTAAACAGGTCATAAACGTGCCATGTCAACCTATTTTTTACCTACCAACCCATTTATAAAATGAGTGATAAATGAGTCGTGTTAACCTATTTTTTAACATATTTTTTAACCTATTTATCAAACTGCTAATAAAACATGTTTCTCAACCTGTTTATATTTAAAGATTTGTTTCTCAACCTATTTAACATGCTAAAGTGACATTAAATAATCTAAGTTCAAAATTAAAACAAATACATAAAACTCTCTCACATACATGATTAATCATTAAACAATTAAATAATTTGTTGCAGTGGGCGGAGTCACATCATCAAGTATAGCAGAAGTTGATCCATATGAGAAAGGTTCCTCATCTTTTAATAAAAATTTGAAGATATCTTGTGTGAGATCCTCCACCTCTTCATTGAAATCTACACGAAAACAAATATATATACATCCAAGTTTAGTTCAAAATCAAGTTAGAAAAAATAAATAAATTAAATTAGTTTGAAACCACCTTTGTCACCGTATAACCTATCTCTGATACAAATAAGTGCTTCAACCGTCTTCAGTGTAAGTGAGCTATGAAATGGATCAAGAACTCTACCACCAACACACGAAATGAAGCTTCAAAAGCAATTGTCGAAACAGAGACAACCAATATATCACAAGTCATGCTAGATATCGAAATTGGTTTGATTTCCAAAAATAAAGGATATCAAGCTCAGTGTTCCTAGTCAATCTTGGCTCATCCAAATAAAGGTCAAGCTCTTATTTATGTGAAGTAGTAGCATACTCAACAGAAGACATCTCATCAATTTCTTAAAAATAACGAGAAGGAGATAGTATAAGAATACACAAGCAGACATAAATATAGAGCATCCACATTACCAATAAATATTTAAAAAAAAAAAAGAGGTATTACCTTGAATATAGCATCCACGTCATCATTTCCTTATTTTTCCTTCATAGAAGATTCAGCAGCATTGGTCTTTTAGCTAGTTGAAGCATTAGTGTTTTTGTTGTACTCTTCAAAAATGGAGAACAACTTACCATTTGAAGCATTAGTTTTTTTGTTGTTACTCTATAAAATAAGAGATTGTTACTTGATAAATAAATTAATGTGATTAATTTATTCGTGCATGAATTATTATAATCTATAAAGTATCTCAAAGGTTTTATAAAAATTTTTGTTATACACGATATGCTACTCTCACACTTCCGCATCCGAAATCATTTCGGAAACCAACATAATATACTACAAAAAAAGAAATAAATATTCTTCACTCACAACGGCACAATAAATCCCCCACCTCACAAACATAGTTCTTTTTTTAAAAAATAGTTTTTTATTATTCACTTGCATATAAAAAAAAGAAAATTCATCAAATTTTTAACTTACATTCAATTAATAATGAATGTTTCTTAATTAAAAGGTCAAATTTAAATTAGATTTAAATTTGAATTAAATTTCAAACCACAGAGTTACTAAAATACACGTAAAATAACTAATTAAATATCAATTTTTGTAAATAAAAAAATGACGGAGGGGAGTTTTTGTTAACATTTTATTGCTTAGGTGGAATAGACATTGTGTTTTAAAAATTGGAGGTAAAGTGTTACACGGAGTATAATTCAGAAAAATTCTTTTAACTAAACCTAATATATTATCTGTTGGTTTCCGATGTTGCTTTTCTATTTCATGAAGTCACATTTGTGAGTTCCGCTCGAAAGGAAAAAAAACAAACAAACAAAAAATGTCAATTGTGACTTGTTTTTGTTTGAACTTTTTTTTTTCTAGTTGGTAAATTTTCTACAATTAAAAACAAAAACAGCGTAACATAGTTTCCTGTGGAATATGGGTATATTGAATGAGGGCGTAGAAGAACTTGAAGTGGCACCACTGAGGAAGGGCTAATGTTTTTACAAGACTTTGATGATAATCCCATTTTTTTCCTTTCAGAAAATATAATTCTCAAGGGAGCACATTGACATACTTTCTCAAGAAAATACGGGCCTCTTCATTTTTTTTTTTTTTTTTTGAGTTAGGGTTATTTGAGTTCAGATTTAATTTTAGTTAAGGTGTATTTGAGTATGGTATGAGTTAGGACTCTAATTTAAGTTTGTGTTTGGATGTACACATTTTGAGTTTGTGTTTGAGTGAGTAAAAAGTTGAATTTATATATAAAAAACTCAATAGTGATGAAAAATTTTAATAGGGTATATGGGTGAAATTTTATTTGTCTCTTCGTTGTGAACACATAGAAAAAAAAATCATCTCAATCGGAATTAAAACAAAAAAGTTATGGTATTTTTAAGAATAGAAAAAATATTGTTCATTAACTTGAGTTTGATTTTAGGAACTTGAGTTGAAGGGGGAATTTGAACTCAGATTTTAGCTATAAACTCAAGTTCAAACTCAAATTTTATAAAAGAACATGAACTTGAATAAAATTGTAACTTGAATTCAAACTTCTTTTGAGTTTGGGTGCAAATGAACAAGCCACAACTCTCAAGCGAGATCACACTAGTAGAAACATCATATATGACGATAGTTTTTAATCGTCCATAAATGATACAAATAACCGTCATAGTATCCGAAGTTGTAAAAGATTGACAGTCTTTTACGACAGTTAAAACCCGTCGTTAAAAAGAAATAATAGATGACGATTAATAGTATAAACCGTCATCTAATATGGTTATGTCGCAAATTTTGGTGTCTTCAAGGTAATATTAGACGACGGTTTTTTATAATAACCGTCTTCTAATGTTTAATTTTAACAGCGGTTTTTACTAAAACCCGTCGTTATATATACGTATAGCTAAAAAAATTTGGAATTTATTTGTTTATTTTCCCACGAGGGCCTGTTTTCATCCCGCGTGTTTTGACTACAATTCATTGTTTATATATACAATAAAATAAATAAATTCACTCACAAAATAAATAATATAGTAGCAAAATGAATTTATAAACAATTACTCAATGTCTAGATTTAAATGTGCCCTTTTACAAAATGTCCCCATTCTTGTAATATTTCTAGCAAATTTTTATTAGTATAATGTTTCATTTCACCTAAACCTTACATTTTTAAACATTACATCGCGCATATACTTTAACACAAAGTATCCACATCGACAATTCCTTCTTGCGTTGAAATGCCCTAAAAATTAAATATTTTGCTTTATATATTATTTTCATGGATTAATTTCATATAACCGTAAGCACACGTGTGAGGCTTGTTGTTCGTTCCTCGATCCCAACCTCTGCCTGACTAGGAATGCAGGAGGTGATCATCGGGTTTATGAAGCTCCAACGGCCGAGAGCCCTCGTGTCTTTACACATATGCCACTAATAACTACATAAAAAAGACATAATAAGTCAAATACTTTTAACAACGTCAAGTAGTACTTCATTTTAAAACATGTTTAGGTATAGTTATATTACCATATGTAAGCCATAACATTCCCCACCCTTAGTTGTTGACAGGTGAAACTCCACTCAATGTCATCAACTGTGAGGAATAGAAGCGTATTTTGCACATGCATGATGTCATATGGCATTGGTATCGTGATGGTGCCACTGGAGCCAATGTGTTGCCGTGCATATATAAACAGATCCCTTAATTCTGCAGGTATGTTTTGCAGCTCATCTGGAACCGGTTGTGTTACTTCGCCAGGCCTTGTGGGAGCTTCTAACTTTTTTCCCTCAGTTTTGTTCTTTTTCCTTTCTTTCGCCTAACATCCTTATCCATAAGAATCTCATTTCCTTTTTTAGATGGACCAACATTA